TAAGTCAAAAATATAAGTTCAAATTTAACATACCAAAACATTTATGTTAAATTTAACAGTATTTTTTCGTTTCCCTTACATTTTCAAAGTTTCTTTGTTGACCAAATAGACTTATGATATTGAGTTATTTGTAAACTGCATTATCTCCAAATAACAAGTGTCCTCTTATAACATAAGTCCTTGATTGGGTAGTGATCAATTTCATGTGTGTCAGGTTCTTCATAGTGACGATCGAATTCTATCGATCAGATTGCAATGTGGTTACTAGTCTAGGTGACTCAATATTGCGTGCATAATGTTGAGATGTAAGATGGTGGTATGATGCTTTCCTGTCGAGTATCTCCAGCTACCACCTTATGTCCTTGATAGTGTATAGTTGGTATTTAATTATTGCAATATTTCTTATGAAGATTTACTTTTGTAGTTACATTTATTCTGTACAGCAGTGGGGAAATAATTTGAAATGAGTGAGTTCTCCAAAGACCTCAAACGTTTAGTGGAGTTCCACATACCCTGATACCTAGGTAAATTTAAAATGAGGCATGAAGAACAAGATTTACAAAATAAAACGAATTTATAACATTGCAAGGCTTTTCATCAGCTATACTAGGTCTGGAGTTACAATTATTTATTATTATGGTATTGAGCTTTTTGAGCCAGATGACTTTATTGTATAGCTCTACTTGTTACTGTAGATAACATCTTCAGCTCCTACGTCATGCAATATTATTGTGACCATGTAATGTTATGATTACGAAGAACATTTTTCATAAATGAATCAATGAAACTCAGTTCGAAACAACACAGAAAAACATAAACAGATAGAAGCGAAAACAACATATTTAACATGACCATTATTAGTGACCATTAGTATCTGGTTCAAAATGAAGTTATATATATAAAGGGATGATATCATAAATAACAAGACATTTCTAACAAATAAATACTGATCAATACATCTAACTTATATAGTATTAAATCTTACATTTCATGTGAATTTCAATGGAATTCTCTTAAATACAAAGTAACTGACAGATGTTAAAACAATATAGTTAGTTTGCCATGGCAGCGTAACGTTTACCATAATTTTCCCATGTATACAACTTTCAAGTGACAAAACCTTCATGGTGATGGCCTCTACAAAGCAGAGTAAAAGCCATGTTCTCTCTTTCCTACTTATTTTAAACCACTTTGTGATACTTATTCTATGCCCCTTATCAATTAAATATCTAGTGATTGCGCTTGTGAACACTTTACCTCTTTTTAAACGTGGCTTTCGAGGAACATGTTTAATAAAACCCCTTGTAGATGCCCTTTCAATATTTCTTTCGTACCTGCTGCCATGAGTACACTTCATAAATACATTTGGTGGTGAGGTCACAGGGGTAATGATTCACTCTTTATTGTTTTGAAGAACATTTGGTGTTATATAGTGAAATTAGTTGAGCTACAGGAAAGGTTCTTCAGAATCGTTGTCATCCTTTTATCAATTATACCCGAAATGTCATCCCCTCCAAATACAAGTTGGATGAAGTTATATTTTTTAAGCAGTTATTCACGTTCCGTGAATATTTGCGTACTTCACTATTAGTTTCTTTGTATATCCACTTTTTATGAGGTATTTTTCAGTAGTGCCCCATTTGTCCCTCTACTTTATTAGTTGAACATAACCTTCTAGCCTCACCAAATGGGATCTTGACTGAACAGCGTATGCGACTAAGAGGACCAATCTTTTGTAGTTTAGGCAAAAGCCGTCTATGTATGTTTGTAGTGGCTGTGCTTCGATAACTAATCACCCTCGAACCGTTATCGTATAATCTTCAACGATGTTTGAAATCAGAAGGCAAAAAGAAGCAGCTACTACAGTTTATTTAGCAGATAATTCGGACCAGACAGCAAAGGCAAAATGGATGAGCAAGCGAACTACGATTGTGTCAGTAGCAGTAGCGAGTAGTTGTAGTGGATGGGTGCAAATGTACATATACATATATATATATATATATATATATATATATATATATATATAGGATGAGTCAGCGAATAGATTAAGCAGTTAAAAATGTAGCTAGCAGAATGAATACATGCGTAGGGGCTAAACAACTGTTCAAGCATATGTATTTCATACAAGCACAATAATAATGACAGTACAAGTTGTTATAGCATGGATGACTTTGTCCATTAAATAGGTCAATAAAAGACCTTGACTGAATTAAACTCAATTGCATGTGAGTCGCTATATGTTTTCTGAATATATTGTCTTTGTTTGTCCATTGTTTTTCCATTTTATGTTCAGGTCAACATAGATAAACTGATCATTATGTTCAAAAGCCATAGTTACATTTCATGATTTCACGTGATTCGTTAAAGTGGCAAAGTAATTTTGAAACATGATTCATATCACAATAAATACAAACAGATAATAACACTACTGGATGCCGGCTCAATGGTTCAGAGGTTAGGCGGGACCGAAGGTCCTGGGTTCGAATCCCGCGTGCGGGATGGTGGATGCTCGCTGCTGAGGAGTCACGTACTAGGACGAAACGGCCGTCCAGTGCTCCCAGGTTATTAGTGGTGGTTTGACATTATCGGTTCATGATTTCAATAAAGGCTCTATAGTCTACACAATTCTATATTGATAATAAAAAATGTAGTGTCAACATGCATTCAATAGAGTGTGATATTTTCAGTTCCGTATTTGAATCACTTCTGTTCAAGGTTAGCTATGAAGATGTCGGCCAATGTAGGCCTGACTAGTAATCCCATGGTCACTCTATCGCTTTGTCCGCATAACAGGTTGTTTAATTTAAATTATCTCATTTTTGTCCATTTAGGCATTATGGAGCGGAGGAAATAATTCTTGCTCCTAGGAAACCAGATTTACGGTTCATTATATTGATAAATTTGCAAGTGAGAATCAGATAATAAATAGTAGGGTTTATCTATCCGATATATCCATCTGGTTCTTTCGAAAGTGAAATGTTTCTTTGAAGATTTACATGATTTTATAATCAACATAAAAGTCTTGGCTGATCTCAACTATTATATCAAATATGTTGCTTCTTCTTCGCCTTGTGTTCTTAAGTTTTTGCAAACTCCACTTTATTGAAAACATTGATCAAAATGACCTGGTATGGCTGAGAGTGGGGAGAGTCAGCTCTCCCTCCCCAAATGCTCTCGCATGGCCACGTGCGTATAACCACTGCAAGGAAAGTCCTACTCATTGCATTCTCACACCACAGGTGTTGTTTACGGAATCGAGAGGATAAAAAGCTAATGTCCAGCGCTCTAACCTAGTTGGTGGACACAGAGACTCCACCTAGGGGTGTTGGAAAACCCTCATTCAAACCATTGATGCACATGGGCTCCAGTAAGCTGAATGAATAAATGGCTTATGAACCAATTATTGGTGACTGGCTACCATGGGACTGCATCTCATCGCGTTACCTCACTGCCAGGTGGATCAGACCTTTAGATCAAAGGCTCAGGGTGTGGCCCCATAAGGAAGCCACCTGTTTTTGTTTGGGCACCTGGTTAGTATCCCAGCCCTTACACAAATCGAATGTTTACGTGGCGCATATCTACTCGGTTCCCCTTTGTTGCCTCCTTGTACCAATGTTTATGTGTTTAAATAAATAAATAATTCTAAACCGTTCGTTCGTTTTATTTAAATTTAATAGATTTAACTAATAAAAAACGTTGACCATCTCTAAACTTAAAATTGGGTAAAATACCTTAAAACCGTTACATGATACTAGTCGTATAATCTAGTAAAAAATAACTATCCTACATGTAAATTGTAATTCACGTTTTAGAAAGTTATAAAAATACTACACGAGATACTAGTCAAAGTAAGTTTATGCTAAATTCTACCGATAATATACGTTAAATTAATCGGTAATTAATCGTTTAACATTAAAATAAGAAGTTATACATTTATTAACAGAGGTTGTTAGTCAATTGAAATGTGGTCCCGTCGAATAAACACAATCTTAAAATAATCCTATTGGCTAGTATTTTATGAACCATCTCAGAATGACTGTTTTTGATTTTGTAAATGACCAATTTAATTAAGTATCTGCTTTGATATATCAGATCCTGAAGATATATAACTCACATCAACTTCATATCGATTTGTATAAATGTATTGTGAATATATCTGGAAACTAAATGTTTATGATTGCAGTGATTGATTAATTTGAGATTGTGAATTAGTTATTTGATATGAAATAGTTCTTGAAGTGCTCGTCTTAATTTACATCAAGCTTCGATATCTCGTATAATTTTTCAAGGAGCAACCTGATATTTATATATACATTAAAAAAAGATATCAATACCAAATTTACTTCAGTCGACTATTAATTTAAAGCTAGAAGAAACTCGAATAGATTCGGCAATCGGATATAATTTCGAAGTCATATGACGGTCACCGTCTACAACTTGATGCTTTTTGATGATCTCATATCATTTATTCTTATTCAGATGAATTCTCTATTTTAGATAAATGATTGTGTAGATATCTGTAAAGTTTAACGGTGAACTTTCATAAGAATCAGCAAACTGATGAGAATTTGACACGTTCGGTCATAGTTTCAGTATTGGAATAGATATTTGGAACTACTTGTAGAAAAGCATGACATTTAAATCTTTCCAAGTTAAATATTGGAACGTTGTTTACCAAAAAACAGCAAAAACTATGTGTCATAAGCTGAATTAACTGGAAATATTTTTTTCAACACTGTATTTCAGTTAAGTGACTGAATGATACTGCGATTGCAATGAGAACCAAGTGTTTTGTCATTGACTGATTAGATGTTATTAAATATATTGTTTGGATGAATATTTTTAGGAATAGATTTTATCTCATTCAAAAGACCGAAATGACATTTAGTTAAAGTGACGAAAAAGCAAAGGAATCCTGAATGTTTTTCCATAAGTTCATTAATCAGATCTTCATTTCATTTATTACTGCTTACACTTTTTTCTTTTCATTTTACTGACAGGAAAACTTCGATTGGATATAGAATATCAAAATCATTCAATTAAATTACACGGTAAATTAATGTTTTTGTTAAACTTCTGGTTAATCTTTTGGTAGATATTCAAATATAGTAAGATTGTAGTTGTGACTTTGAAGTGTCTCAATTTCTTGTCTAGGTAAAGTGGTGTCAAGGTTCCTTTATCTTTGAAATATTTAACTAAATCATTTATTAATGATGATTTAAACTTAAGTGACAGGTTATAATTAATATTTCCAGTTCTATGATAGTAATCATAAAATAAGATTACATAAATCAATATTTTTAACCAGAGAGAAGTTTTGTAGAGATCGTAGTAATATAACAATTGAATTTATGAGTCGATTGAAGGAAGACCATCATGGAAAACCTGGAAGCACTGGACTGCCGTTATGACCTGTTGTGGGACTCCTCAGCAGTGCTCATCCACGATCCCCCTTCACTAGATTTGAACTCAGGATCTATCGATCTCACGCGTAAACGCTTAACCACTAGACCACTGAGTCGGCATCCGACGGTGTAAATATCTAACTTCAACTAATCTACGAAATCGAGCGACACATCCACCAATGTTTTCGGTTAGTTACTACCTGACAACAGACCCAGTTAAACTCCACTGGTCATTGCTTCTCATTAGAATTTATTGTAATTTGTTAATACTCATCCTGCACAACCATTGATGTTTATTTCTATGCAATCTGAGTATATTTTTAGCAATTCGTCATAAATATTAATCATTAAAAAAATAATAACTCAAGTCCCTTTTTCATTACATGCTTATAAAGCTGTTCCAATTATTATAAGACAAAGCCGACAGAACATCTTACTAAAATCTGAGAACCACACAGTAAATACTTAATTTGCAAAATATCAATCAATTGTCTCAAACTTGACTGTTTCTTTTGCAAATATCAGTCCATCATTTGAGATTTCATTGTTCCTTCATTTTCATACCAATTGCTTTCCGTTCTCCTTCTTTCCTTTCAAGGAATTTGCATGTAGCATTTATTGTAATTAAGTACCTTTGAAAACTGAAGACCGTCGGAAAACTTATTACTCTTAACATGGGACTCGTCAGAAGTTGGCATCTCTGGCCATTAGCAGACGCTGTGAGCACATGACCCTCATGATGGAAGCTGTATTATTCGTCGGTTCACCTTAGCTATTGAGTTATAGTCATATGTGCAGAAATTCATGGAAAGGACTATGATTCGACAGGATAAAAAGGCAAAGTTACGCATTCATCTAACTGTGGTTCAACGTGATAATTTTACAATAGGACGTAACCTTTTTAACACTGACGGCTTATTCTGATAAGCTAGAAGCTCATTTGAGTTAATAACTGTGCAGATATTCTGGCTTTCATGGCCACATATCAACAATCCAGTTATGGTTAGTAAAGGCATTATTCTTCCGTAATAAAGAAAATGTTTTCATAATACTGTGATAAGTGAACCAAAGGAAGCATAAATATAGTGATTGGATACAGTGAGAGAAGAACCAAGTGTAGAAATCTACAACTATTCTTCATCATATAGGACAAAGATGTAACCACTAATAGTACGCAATTATTTGGATATATGAAGCTTGTGGGCTAGGACGGTAGCTGATTCATTCAATATTTTCAATAAGTAAGATTAGAACAAAGACAAACTTTACTACATATTTATTGAAAGATTGAATAACAAAGAAGAATGGAAGAAAAACTATAGAGTTATGTATACTTGATCAGAACACTTCAGTGAATAATAAGTCAAAATTACTTGCCATTTATCCATTGATATGTGATCAGTTCAAGAGTGGTAGAGAGGTGGTTATATAAACTTAAAAATGCTAGTTGTTAATTCAAATTTAATGATCAGTAACTTAAATTACATCTATTAAGCTTTAAGATGAACACTCAACTACCCTATAGAGGTGGTTAATATAAGAGAGTCACTAATCTCCGATAACAAAACTGTCCAGCATTCCCAATTTTATACGATGTTGTTTGATTATGTTATTGGAAAGTTATAATAATATGTTTGTAGAATACAGCTATATTGTGTGAGTATATTCTTTATATTATCATCTCAGTAACTTAAATATCTTTTTGCCATTTCAGTAATTGAAGCCAAAGGACTTCGTACTACTACCAGTCAGAACTGCAACTCTTTCGTGAAAGTAAGCGACTTTTATCGGATTCTTTCTTGACCAACTAAATACTGCTGTAGTATTTTTGAATGGTAATTGTAAAAAAATTATTAGTCTTATCATGCTCTAATTCATACTAATTATGCTACAATTCTGTTATATTTACCGGTTCAGGTGTTCAGAATAAAATGTTTCAATTATATTCTCAAAATCCGATGAGAAAAAGTCGCAAACCTATATATTTTAATGGTTGAGATCATGAGTCATTTGAAGCTAGACCGCCACGGAAAACCTGGAAGCACTAGACGGCCGTTTTGTCTTATTGTGTCTCTCCTCAGCAGTGTGCATCCACGATCCCGATACTACTATAACCACACAACCCCTCTCTGATTATAATTTATAAGTATAAAACACTATTTGGAGTGATCATTCCAATTTATTTAACAATACTATGAATAGTCCTTTTTTCTTTGACAATATATCATCATTAAGTCATAATCTTGAATTCACGACATCGATGAAGAAGACACCTGATAAATGGTACTTTTAGATGATGGAAATATACTTAAACATTTACTTTCGTATATATGAATCAGAATTTATGGAATTATTTTAGCACTAAATGTTAAATGATTAGATAGTTCACTTCAGCTGAACAAGTTTGCTATGAAATCTGATTGAGGGTTACTGACCAGTGAATCTTTAATTCAAACGCCATAAATAACCAAAAGTTATGAAATTAATTAATCAAGAATGTTTTCACCAACTGATCATTAAATATTAACCAATATCATGTTTTTCTGATCATCATTACTGATCGAATTTCGTCTTCAACAGACTAACATTTAAACCGGGATGATTTACTTAGGTAATCATTAGCTTTGCAAATTACATAGGTGTCAATACATCGGTAAGTTGACCTATCTTTTTTTTCTACGATTTCAGATAAGTGCATCTCCAGACAAAGGAGTTACATTTGAACAAACTACTGAAATAGTCGAAAATTCAGCAACACCATGTTATAATAAAGAATTTTTGTTAAATTTAAACAAAATAAAATATTGTAAAAGAATTCATCTTGCAATCTATGCTCAATCAACTAAAGAATTAGACTGGTGAGTTGACCTATGGTTTACATCATTATTCGGGATGTTTTAATACTTAGTATAAGTTGGATAATCAATGAAACACCTAAGTATTTTTTAACTGAATCTTTCAAATCTTATATATAGATATTTAGACAACTGGCTAACATGAAGACGTTTCGTCGTAAAACGTTGACAACAATTCTACAGGCAATTAAATTTTCTCACAAAAACATCTTTACGTCATAAAACTTAGTAATAGCCACTTGTTTTACTTGTATCTTCCCACTACTATTTAGGACTGCAGCTGATCAGTCTCTAGGTAGCTATGTGGATTATGTGATGGCGTTCGAAACGGACGATACTGGCTTCGAATCCCAGGGCGAACGTCAACTCAGATGCAGGTACATCCAGCTGACGAGTACCAAATAAGACGAAACGCGCTTCAAACTGGATTCCACTGCTAGCCACTATCCATCTTTGCTTATAAAGCTTGTGATTTCAGGCAATATCGAGGCAATACACACAGGATGCACATATGCCAACAAGAGACTGATCAACTGAAGTGGGAAGACACAAGTAAACAACACCAAATGAATTAACAATGTTCATAACATTTATGCTGCAACCTATTTTACTGAGAATCAAAAGTGTGGTTTTTAAAAGACGTTGGATTCCCATTAGTTACTAACTGTTGAAAACCTAAATTCTATTAATTAAGAACTTTCGTCTAAATTTTGTCGAACTGTCTCACAGTACTTGGGGGCCGAGTTAATGTGAGAAATTAAAGAGGATGAATGTATTCTTTCGCTGAGATTTTACAAATACATTCTTCCTCTTTAAAGTTCCATTAGATCAATTCATTGTAGGTTGAAACATTGAATTTTTTAAAGAAAACATTCCATTTTCTCAAGCATTTTTATAGATAGATCAGTAAATAGGTAGTTGTAATTTCTTCAATTAAATGCTAGGAGACACTAAAGTATTATTCTCCAATGTTCCGAAACATTTGAAGTTCAATGAAAGTCTAAGTTAGTTTTGGTTTTGTCAATTGTTATACAGTAGTTCACATATTGATGACGCTATTCCTATTAGGCATCAGTAACCTGAATAATGCATTGTAAAAGATATATTTGTTAACATTTGATAACCTTTAAAGCTGTTTCGTCACATTATGAAATTCTTCTTAACTCTTGAACGTGATTACATTGTCACTTCATTTCTCGATTCACGTTTAGTTCAGTTGATGTGTGGGCGAGAATGATAATGATTGGTTGTCTGCTTAGTCAGACATGAAGATAGTGTCAGATGAGTTATATATTCCCTTATCTTATAATTACTTATTATTGATTGTTCATTGTTGTTGAATTGTGTCGGGTTTTGGTGTGGAAATGTATTTACGTTGTGATCAGGCTAATCACGTGTTGTTGATCTGAGTTGTGTTGAAGTCCTGTAGAATAGACACTGGGAGGGAATCTAGTGTAGATAATCGTCTAAGGTAAATTAACGTCCCATAAGTGTAAAAGTGTAAACCTGTTATAACATTAGACGAAGTAAAAGTGAGTGTTATAACATCAGTAAATTCAACCCATATTCCTTTTATTATTATGCATAATTAATGTGTGCTTATTACGTTACTACCTATTTATAACTATTTGACCTTTTGTATTTTCAAATGGCTTTATAATTATGATTTTTTTAATCTTAGAAGTTGTAAGTAGCTAATGAGAACTGATAGAAATAAAATGTTATTCTACTTAACCTTTTGTTTTTGCTCACTGTAAGATGACTAAAGAAACCATTTGCATGACAAAAATATTTTTGTATTGCTGAGGAGGTTTGAAATTGTTATCAACTACGACACTCCAACGTATAGAACCTCCGCAGTCGCATATCAAAAGACAGAAAAAGACTGAAGAAGTGCTTGCTGGGCAAGAATTAAAATGCATTTATAGATATTATAATTCAATCAGTCCGCAAAGAGGCATGTTATGCTACCACCTAATAGTAGCATGACATGTTGATATTCTAGAAAGCCCCGTTGGTTCAGATTGGATGAAAACTCTTCGGCTCCTTTAGGGCTTCTGAAGGCTCCGTCGTATTTCTCGGAAACTGTCTCAATTATTATTTATTTAATTTGCTCACAAAATAAGTATTAGTAGTTCAGTGAACATTGGTAGGCTGGTGAACCAGTTTTCAAACGGGTAATATGTATAATGAACAAAATCCAACACTTAATAAATAAAGATTCTAAATATCTTCCATCCACTGTAATAATATAAGTAAATGAGTTTTTTTAATTTGTCAAAGAATTCATATATTGATATATATCTCTATGAGTTCTGCTAGTTCAATTACCATGTAGTAACTTATAATTCAATTTAGTTCTTAAATTAAAAATGATGTGTATAATAAATAATTGTTAACTCCAGCTTAATCTATACAAAGTGACGTAATTCAGAGAAAATTAACAAATCAGTTACGTTATAATCTCCTTTTGTCAGTAAGGTGACTCTGTTTATATTTTTATGAGCTTCGAAGATAGTTTACAACACGAACTGATGTCAACTGATGAACACCGTGGAATAATAAACAGTTGATACGCTCTTTTGTGGAACTACTCAGTAGCTCAAATTTATGATCCCGTAATATTTCGTACCTGGTACTTTCAAGTCCCCTCAGGGGTACGCCATACTTTAACTAATGAGTCACAATCCGAAGTGTGCATTAAAATCTTTTGATTAAGTTTAGGCATAAAACATAATCATCTAGTTTCCTCAGTGAATAATTAATTAGATGAGATCATGGCTAATTCCAAAGACAGTAACATTCTTCCAGTCAATTGGTAAATGTAACATCAAGCTTTTCGCTAATAAGCCAGGTAAGTATTTTCTTCTGCAATTAAAACAAATTCATTTCTAGGTGTTTTCCAGTGTAAAGTTTAACAAGTTTAATAAGACAATGACAAATTTATGTTCATGAAAACTACAAACTTACCAGGGAATTGAAATGTAAATCAGTTGAACGATAAGACATAACAAAGTTTGTTGTCAAGCTAGAACATTTATTAAATTCAAATTAATTCCGATTATCTCTAGTTGCCAAAAATATCAAAATGACTTATATTGACAATACTGAGGCTGTAATTTAATTGAATAATCACTGGAAAGGTTTATACTTAATTTGATTAATATTTTTTTTGTAATTTCATTTCAAGTGAATTTCTTGGTGGAATGTCTTTTGGAATTCCTAGTATACAAAACAAGAAACACGTAAGTCAACTAGATGCTTATGATTTAAAAGAAGTAAAAATATTTACACTTTTTGTTGTGGTATCTACTTTTTGTGAATGTTTTCTTTAATGAATGTTCGCATAACTTAAGAATCTATTTTTAACCAGTATGAATCCAGCTGTAATATGTAAGACAATTTGATCGATGAAATAAAATCTTTATATATATATCATGAGGTGGGATCGTGGATGAAACGTTCGTCCATTGCTTCCAGGTTTTCCATGATGATCTAACTTCAATTGACTCATGAATTCAACTATTAAAAAACAACAAATATTCATTTTGTTTTAATTCCATTCAAGTCAAAAATCACAAATCCTATGCTGTTGATAAATAGATATCAATGTATTGGTTAGAATTTGATTGAGTAATTTATCACCCAACTCTAAATATCAATTTTTTCTTTGATAAAATTAACTTATTTGCATATTAAATTTCATTTCATGCTCATAGCAGAAAACTCAAACTGTTTATTAACAAAAATGTGGAAGTCATTTAATTCACCACACTTACTTACTTACTAACTTACACTTCCTACTCCTCGTGGAGAAGCATAGACCGCCCACCCGCACTCTCCATCCGACCAAGCCCTGGGAAATCCTTTCCAGCTCATCCCAGTTGTTATTCATACTATCCATACCTGTTTCTATTTCCCGACGTAATGTGTTCTTTGGCCTTCCTCTTTTCTGCTTCCCTTCAGGATTCCAAGTTAGCACTTACCTCATGATAAAGTTTAGTGATTTCCGCAATGCATGTCCTATCCATTTCCACAATCTTTTCCTGATTTCCTCTTCAGCTGGAAGCTGGTTTGTCCTCTTCATCAGTAGGCTGTTGCTGATGGTATCTGTCCAATGGCTGTTGAGTATCTTGTGTAAAGTGGGAATGTAGCCAACTCAAATGGAATCAAATTAGTTTATGTTTCTCATCTTCATCATTAGGGAGATCATTGAAACCAAAAGGAAATATCAGATAGATATTTCGATGTGAAGTGAAATTACTGATTAATGTATGTTTATAATTCTAAAGTGAATTAAATATTATCGATTTCAGGTCATGTTAGTAATACGATAACTTGATACAGTTATTTCGAAATCCAACTGTTTATAGCTCTAACATTAGCTAATTTGTAAAATGGTGTGACTATAATCCTATTCCACCAGTGATACGTGTCTAACTAAAGTGCACACTAATTGAACAAACATATATTCATGTTTAAATTTTAATTTTCTTCTACTCTAATGTTCATAGATCTCAGGTTGGTATTATTTATTAGACGAAAAAATGTTTAAAAAGAAGCACCTCAAAACTGCTTTAGATCCTATTACCAACTTTGAAAATGTTTTATGTGCAACAAATGAATTAATCGTATCAGATATAATGAAAACCGAAGCTGCCACTGATGCTGTGACAACAAACACATCAACAACAAATCAACAAATTCCTATTATTCTAACATCGATTAATGAACATGTCACACGTCCAAGTACAAATGAAATTCATCCTAATATAAATCGTAATTTCGCTAGTAATAATCACAATATAAATAATCATTGTTCCAGGGAATTTCGTCCAGTATTGTCACCTACTAACTTTATGATTTATTCACAAAATCTGCCTAATACATTGTTACCATATCAAATTAGTAACCCACCAGTTAATTCACATTTTCCACAATTTTCATCACCAGTTCCTATACGAGCAAATATGTCAATTCCAAATACGAATAAAGCTTTAAGTAATATGAGAATATTTCAAGTGAGTTAAATTATTTTCACTTAAGTTTCTATAGTTTTCACCATATACGTATCTAAGCTAGGATACTCAATGAATTTTAGAAGACTGAATAAAGTAATATTGCTCAACAACCTTTTATTGTTGTTCCGTGTATAAAATGAACAGATTCAGCAGACCTATGACTAAAAGCAAACAACCTCCATTAGTTTTTGAGTTTATATTAGAAGCAAATTCAAGCTTATCATCATTTTATTGAGCACTAGTATTTGGCGGCATGTTAAATGATTGTAGACAAGCGGAAGAAAGCCATAAACTTTGATTTTGTCTTAGTTAACACTCATCATCGAGGTACGCATCTAGTACAGAGAAAAATGATACTACATACATAATTCAGTCTAACGCCACTAAGTGTCAGAGATAAGGACTTTGCTACTGAGCTATTCGACAGTACTGACGATAACATCACATTGGTTATTCCTCACTAATTATTCAGTATAAATATTATAGTCTAGCAATTAGTTAGACTAACTCAGTGGTAATGTCTTTAGGTGACTTTGAGTAATAAGGTTTCGAGTAATAGTTTCCTCAGAATACTATACACACCCAGATGAAGAGTGCGAAATAGAGTGGAGCCATTATCAAATATGACTTTTGTCGACCGACCCCAACCATGTGACATAGTGCATACGGTGTCGAATAACTTGGAGAATATTGGTCATATTGCAATTGGATAGGTAGAATTCCATCATTACTTAGGATTAAAAAGCATAGCATTGGTTACTACTCTATCATCCATCAATGTGTACAAATCGTTGAACCGAGTTGTCAATTTTAAGAGTAAATAAATAAACGTCTTCATCATCTTCAATACTAATAAACCCAAACATATTTGTAATTATGAAAGAATGTACAAATATTGTATGTATTCGAAGGTGTGCTACTTCTTGTATTGATTGATTAGCTTCAACTTCTAAAGATTTACATTAGAATATAGCAATTATGTTGCAGGTTATTCTTGTTTTTATGTGAGTAATCACTTGTTATTAATTAACCACTAATTATTCTATTCAGTTCTGTCTGTAGTTACTATTGTACGACGGAATTCTTGTTTTTTTGTCAACTTTTACCTTTACCATAATGTTAATATTGTAGTCCTATAATCAATTCTACGTACAATAATTAGGAATTGCAACACTTTGGATGATTTTGAATAATCTACATTTGTGCTTTCTATTTCTTATTAAGTTCTCTGAAATGACTGGTTTAACTAAATGTCTTTGTCGTTCTGGAAGAAAATATTATCACATACTATCATTCACCATTCACTTCTACATCAAATTTTAGGGAAGTAGTACAAGTTTACTTAAGAGAATTCAACATTACTAAATTGTTCCAATTGGACTAAAAGTATTCAAAGTTATTTCAAATTTCCAAGCATCACCTCCTTAACAACTTTATAGTAGTATTCACATTTATTTGACTTTATTACAAGTTACAATTATTCCAGCTTTTAGGTAACTGAAAAGTAATTCACAAAATATATAAATTGATATCCTCCTTTTTTTCGTCATATTCTTTGCTTGCCCTGCATTCTAGTTTTGTTTTTTCTAATTCGTTTTATTGTCTCACTACCAATGGTAACTTTCTTTTTTTTTCTTTTTTTCCAATATTCGGTACTAATTTCAAAGTAGTACAATGTACAAATTATGTCAAATAATTTATCAGATTTCATACTTGTACTTATGTTTTCAGCTGATCAGTTTAGATTGGCATTTTTACACCATGAATGAATTGCTTGTATTGCTCAATATTTAGTCACAAATTTTAGTTAGATTAGATTTTGACTAACAGTGAAATTCAAGATATGCATTTTGTCTTCTTTACGACTAGTTAATCGAATGTTCCTGAGTTTCAGTGTTAGTGTTTACACAATCATATATATACCATCTAATGAGAGGACCTCGATGTTGACATTCAGACACAAGTTTCAATGAGGTTTAACTAAATCTATGTCATAAGTTCCACGTTTAGTCACAATCCAACGTTACATAGATCTTTCATGTGAATTTTTCATGTAAACTTGTACACATGTCTAAGTATGGATACGGACATAGAGCGAAACGACCTAGTGAAAGTTTGATGTGTTAGTAACTATAGACAAAAGAAAAGTTCGGTCATTTATTTGTATGCGAAATCCAGTAGTTTAGTTACATGATATTACCTTATTTTGTCGAGTAACTAAGGTTAAATTTTGTAAAATGTACGATTGGATTTATTGTATCTCGTTATATACAGATACTAATACTTGTGATAGCTGAGAAAAACTGTCACTTGCTACTTTTTATGGAGGAACAAATATTGATAACATTTGGAGAAAGGAAGAAAAACTTCAGATGAAGGTTAATTCATGAACCAACTATACAACCACAACTGATTAAAACGACATCAAAATATTACAGTGGGGTGTAAATCATTCCTATAGATTCGGTCAACAGTTAAAGTTGAATAAATCTAGCTGGTAGTAATCAATGTTAAGTAATCAATAATTTGAGGTACAAATGTAATTTACTGGATCAATAAATGAAATTTTTTTTAACTAATGAACATAATTAATTTACATTTTTGCTTTTTCCTGATAGGATAAGAGAAAGCATTTACTATGATTACGTAAAACGCTGTTTGAAAGTAGGAATTTGTCAACCGAGCACCTTTTTGATAATCTTTTATTATTGTATAAAACCGAAAACAACTTTCACTGGTTACGAATGAAATTTTCATCACTTCATTGTATGTCGGATGAACTGAAAGTTCATTTAGTAACATCATTATGACACATGTGATATGGAATCCGTCAACACCAAAAAACCAACTAATTATTTATTTTAAAAGTTTAGTATAGAATTCCTCTAATCTGCATGAAGTTTTAGAGTAACTCACTTGTGTCCGTTAGATTAGAAAATTGGTCGTTTTCGAAAAAACATGTACATTAATTGTATGAAACAATTACTCTATTCAAACTATAACATTTAAGTTGTCAAGATTCATTTGAGTAAAACAAGATCGTGGCTTCTAAATGTTTATCATTTGTACGTGTTTGTGAATATTTAGGACTGCACAAGATAAATCTTAAACCTGTGAATCAGATTAACACCTACAAAGTGGACTGTGCGTTAATGTTTGAAGCGATAAGTGCTGGATTCCAGTCTAAATACGAACATCAGTACCAGGCAAATCAACGTGAGGAGTCGCAAATAGGACAAAACAATCCTTCTGGACTCAACCATTGGCAAAATATCCTGCTATACTTGTGAATCCCGATTGACTAATATTTTATATATGAAGCTCTTTAAATATCGGAGGTCACTGGGTAGACAGTAATTTAATTTATAGCCTGTTAACTTTAATACCATGGATAAAGATTACCACAGAATTTGACTACAAATACATGATGACAGCATCAGACTAAATGTGGAATCCAAACTAAGGTTTGAACTGAAGAATAACTATCTAGGTAGTTTAGATACGCGCTATTTCCCAGTTGAAAGCAAAACAAGTTGATTGGGTAATAGCGAGTATCTAAACTATCTACACAGTTATTATTTAGTCCAAACCTTAGTTTGGGTCCTATAGCTATAAATAAATAGTACCATCCAATTATTCAACCAATAATTATTCAACCAGTAACGAAATCAAGCGCAACAAATAAATGTAATTCTATCCTTTCTGGATAGATCACGTAAAGATTTGTTCGAAAGCTAATATTTGGTTGCGTTATAACACAGAATGTTTCCAATTCATAGGCTTTACTCTAATATACAGTAATATTTTAACACGTATACGAAATTACTAAACCAATCAAGATAGTTTATGAGTCAATGAAAACAGTGGAATAGATTACATAAATAAGTTAAAAGTACAAATTGTTAGTGTGATGACATAATTGGTAATAAGTCAATAATTAGAAAAAATAACATTCATAGAAAGATTACAAGATTACGTAATAAGAAGTGTTCAAACAATTGGACCGTGAAGTGTATATTTGAGAAAAGAAAAAGGCTGAGAGAGTAATGAGAAAAATAAACGAACAAAGAGTATGGAAAATAATAAGAAATAAAATCATTCATTAAGGCCAAGGGAGAGATAAGGATGTTACAAAATTCTTATCAACAAAAAGACTTGTATTGTTGGCTCGATTTCCTACAGCTCCTAATATGTGTAAGAGACGAGATCGAATATCATAAGGAAAAATAGTAGGAATACGATAAATAACTTTAATTGATTTGTTTCTGTCCACTACATGACCACTATCGATCAAGTGTGATAGAACCGAGCTGCGTATTATCTTGACATTACCTTTTACTAACCACGAATGGAGGTGTTCACTAACAATTTGGTTCAGTTGTCTGGCATTGCGCCCAATATAGCTTTCTTCACAGGAGCAGCTGAATTCGTAGATACATATAAAAATGGCATAATCAGGTAACTTATACCTCAACTTTTAGCAACACTAAATATAACATTTATTAATGACTAGTTTCTATGGGTTAAATATATTACAAATAGATTAAGTAGAAAGTAAAAGAATGAAAGTAAATGAGAAACCTAAGAATCATTTATATCATTTTATTTTAATACACAAATTATGAACCTTACTAATGATTATTATTAGAATAAATAAATCAATAACTTTCAAATATACACAACTAGAATGATGATTCAAACAATAAGTGTCTAGTGCAACATTAAATATAACAGTTGTTCTGTTAAAATATAACCATAACAACAACAACAAGGAGAGGAAGAAAAAGAAAAAAAGGATAATAAATCTATTCTATTTTAAATGATTAATTTGAATTGTGAACAATTTACATGAAAGCATTTGTGGTGAATCAATAATTTATGAATAAACCAATCAGATTTATGGTAACAAATCTTGAAATTTTGGCGCGAAATGAATTTATTAATTTGGTTAAATAGATTTTTGACATTATAGCTAATGTTAGTTTGTGATGAAAACTCTA